ACACCGGGCTTAAGGCTGAGCCACAGCCTCCTCCTCTGCTTCCCTGCGAATAGGTGATGTCTCACAGGCCCGGTGGATAATGCCAGCGTCAGGGAGCTGGAGCACTGACTACTCTGAGCCGTTTAATCCCTTCTTTCCTTTCTCCCCTCTTTTAAATAGCTAACTCTTCCTTTGAGCAACATCTTCTGCTGACAATGTTTTAAATTAAGCTGCACAAGACCAACTTGATGAAGCCAACACAGAGCTCCAAACAAAATTCAAAGGTTTTTACACACTCTAGGGAACATGCAGACATTATGTGCTAGTCTATAGGAGCACTGCATTTCATAGGAGATAAATCTGTCTGCTGCCCTTGTTGTGCTGTGCCCTTTCCTACCTCCCAAGCGAAGCTTGCTTTCATCTGATTATTCCACTGTACCCACTCCCCAAGTCAAGGATCCCAATCCCAGGCTCCAAGGGCTGCTCTGCCCCACGTCCCACCCGAGAGCAGCTCCTGGCGCTGCAGGGGCAGGGGCAGACCGGCATGAGGCAAGGGGTAAGCCACTGCCACCCTGGGCTGGCCACAGGCATGAGGCTCCTGAGGAGCCCCCTACAGCTAAGACAGGTTGGCGTTCCTGCTCTGGCGCAGGACAGGCAGTCTCGGTAATGAAGTATCAATAATTGTTCTCAGCTCCGTGTTCTCGCTCCCTGGGCAAGTATTTTTATAGGACTGTGGGCACGTAATATGGCAGTGTTTGCCTGGTACTGCAGTGCCATCGTTCACACTGTTCAACACTTGTGGTTCAGACACGCTCTGCCGTTAATAAAATAAAATAAAGGTTATGGGACTGACCAACAGACCACACTTCACTACATGGCCTACCCTGGATGTTCAAAGGGTCACGTGGGATGTAATGGTGGAGTCAGGAATCTGCAGCTGTGACCGAAGCCAGTCACAGGGAGCATACGTGCATGCAAAGGGCAAGCGTAATGTAAGAGAGGGTTGCAACTGGGGATTGACTTGGTTTAGCAAAAGGTTTTGTTAGTTTGGATCCCTCTCAATACAGCACACCTCCAACGGGAAGTCACCTTATCCCAGAGAAGCGTTTTCAGTGTGCTTTGCTTTCTAGCCCTGTAAAATGCATACAGCAGCTATTTACACCTTCAGCAAATTCTGAAAGTGCTGCTTACTTAGCAACATTTCGTAAATCTACCATAAATGTAATCCAGAGTCTTCCCTGGGTTAAGCAGCAAGAGGGCAGCACTCCAGTCACTGTAGCCACGGTGGTCTACAGTCACACAAAGTGAAGTCTGCCTTTTTCTAAACCGCATCTTAAAGACTTAACTACTTCAGTTTGTCTAGTAAAACATTTTCTTCAAATTAACTCCTCTAAAATCAGTTCTGATTTTTACCCCTTTTCTTTAAAAATTGGTATGCTTTGCTCTTAAAGGTTTGCACGAAGTGAAAAGGAAGATACAGCCCACCCTATCTGAAAAGAGCTGACAAGGTTTCTCATGCTAAGTGAGATTATATTCACAGTAATGTTTTTATTCTGTTACTATCCCACCATATATATATGAAATAATTTCAACCAAGTCACTCAGGTCCTTATTTATTAGTAAGCCTGTACACTGTCAATACTCATGATGGCGCCTGAAAGACAGAACACTAATAGAACACAGTCTTCATG